TGCATGCAATGTCGCTGCCATGAAAAAGCCTTTCCATCCATGGATAACAGCAATAACTTTTCCACATTATGCCACTAGTCTAGTTTCCAATTCAAAGATTTGTTCAGTCTTTGCTTTCCAATCATAAGAATTTGTGCCATTGAAAGGAAATTGGATGTTCCATAACAGACTACTCGAATTGGACATGTCCGAAACTCATTCGGCAATATTCATGATTGTCTGGCCACTATTTATGACTGTAATGGAAGAAACTAAATTCTCTAATGTATACTACAGTGAATCAATGATATGTTTGCAACTGAGATTTGAGAGGATATTTTGAAAATATGAAAACAGAAGAAAGATGATAAGTTGAGAAATGATAAGTTCAGAACCTGGTTTGATGAAGAAACGAATTTCAAATTTTTTAAATTCAAATAGACAAAACTGCAATGTTTCAGCTTTAACTGCAATTGTCCCCTTTACCAAAGACAGAGGCACAAATTTATGGACGTTGGGCACATCAACTATTTTGTTCTTGGAAAGATGTTTGACTTGGTCAAAGAATATTTAAAAGTATTATGCAGATTTTGATTACCATAAAAACTTGGGATTTTGACTTTGATTTGCTTACCAATTTTCATTTGGATGTTATAAAACTAATTTTCAGAAACAAATTAATCGATTAACCAACTACTTAACCTATTAAGTTGATATTTAATACTAGGTTTGAAAATGCTACAGTGAAATAATCGATTAATTCATAAAGGAATCGATTAGTCTTATACAGAATGAAATTAATAAAATGATAACAGAATTTAAATCGATTAAAACGAAAAAGAATCGATTAAATTTGAGATCTTAGTGTTTTTAGTTGATATAAATCCTTTTTAATCGATTAAAACAGCTAAACTCAAATCCTGAGAACATTTTAATCGATTAATTCGCATTTCAATCGATTAAAAGTGTACGGACAGATTTTCTGATATTCTCTGTAAGATATTTTAATCGATTAATACTTGTTTTATATCAATTAAAACATTCAATTAATGAAATAAGAACCTGATTTGCAGTTTTGAATACCAAGGGACTTCCAGATTTTGTTCTTGCAAAACAAATTTAACATGTTTCGGTACCCTTTATAATTACTGGGTCCAATTAGGTTATTTGAAATGACTTTAACTTTGGAATCCATTTCATTCTACCTTTAGGAATAGCATACTTTTTAATTCTACAGTATTTTACTGAATGACCTCTTTTCATGCAGTAAAAACATTTAATCACAGAGTATGGTTTCTTATTTACATTTGTTTTTCTAGATTTAAATCCTATTCCAGATTTGTCAAAAAATAGTTTTTGTGACCCAAGTAAAACGTCAAGATTAGCTTGACCTTGTGTAAACCTTGAAACGGTTTGAGATAAAAAATCAATTTTCTTTTGTAATTCTGAACAAATATTACAGGGTTTATTACATGCACAATCAGAATTATCATCTAATTTCAAATTTTCATTCTTGGTTTCTTCATCAACTATTTTCTTTTCAAGAATAGTGATCTTGTTTTCTAATATCCTATTCATGCTTTTTAATCTTTTTTTTTTCAGTTTCTAATTTTTTTTCTATAGCATGCATTTCATAAAAGGCATCTTGTAAAGAACTATAGTTCAAAGTAGTTGTTGAGTCAGAACTTACACTGGTTATTGGAGAATCCGAATTGACCATTAAGCATATCTCTGTAGTTTCTTCATAGGCCATTTCAAGGGTTTTCCACATTTGTGCAGCAGTTTGACAATGTGCTATCCTGAAAAAATTGTTTCTGTTAAGTGCAGATATAATGATATTTTTGGCAATACAATCATCTTGGATTAATTTCTTTTCACAGTCATTTAAGCTACACCAATCTTTGTTAAAAATATCAGTTTCTTGTTCAATGATATTCCAAACATTTATACTAACAGATTCAATAAAGATCTTCATCCTAATCTTCCAAAAAGGATAATCTGTTCCACAAAACAGTGGAGGTCTATCAATACAAGCACCCTCAGAAAATTTGTTTCCATCCATGGATCGAAGAACTTGAATAACTCTCAAGAACCTTGCCCTGATGCCAATTGTTAGAAAAGTAGTTTTAGATCAAGAGGGGGGGGGGGTGAATTGATCTTTGAAAGTTTTTCGCAAATAACAGATTATCTATTTGTAAAAATAAGATTTCAGACCTGTTCTTGAATCACAAAGCAAGCAATCAAAAATAAGCAGTAGCAGAATTAAAAGAGGAGAAAGGTTTAGAAAGATATCACGGGTGTTTATACTGGTTCACCCAATACCAGGGCTACGTCCAGTCTCCAGCCAAATTCCAGCTGGGTTCCAATAGATCAAATGTTTTACAGATTACAATCTTACACTTAATCTACCACAAGAACCACAATTCCAGTTCCTGCACCTAACCTTTCACCAAGAACCAAATTCCAGTTCTTGACAACCTCTACAACCAAATTCCAGCTGCAGAGAAACCAGTGCCCACAATTCTAGGCACCAAACAATACAAAAAGAATGTAAAGAATTGAAAAAAAGAAACTAGAATGCTCAAACCAGTTTTATGCAATTTTGCAGTGTGTTTCTTCTTCAAAAGAAAGCAATTTGCCTGAAGAAAGAATTTCAAAGAACTTCACAAAAACTGGCGCGAATCTTTCTTGAAAGTGTGCTAAAGTTTGCTTGCTTGATTGCTAAAGATTGATGTTCAATTGTTGTATTTAAAATGTTCAAGCCAAACTGTTTTTATAGAAGATTTTCAAAACTGCTGGTTTAATCAATCTGTTAAAAGATTCTTTTAATCTGTTAAAAGTGTAGTTTTAATCTGTTAAAACTTCTTTTAATCCATTAATACGTTCTTGATTCTTTAACAGATTTGTTTTAACTGATACGACAACGTTTATATCAATTAAAACTCTTTACAAAAAATCTTCTAATTTGATTTAATCGATTGTTTCGTGATTCAATCGATGAATATACTGCAAAACTAATAAGTTTTAATCAATTAAAACGCTTTGTAGAAATTTTCTAAGTTGTTTTAATCGATTGAAACGAGATTTAATCGATTAAAAGAGTTCTGATCGGTCATAACTAAATTCTGATCGATCATAACTGATTCTGATCGGTCATAACTCAATTCTGATCGATCATATCTGATTCTGATTGGTCATAATTGCATTCTGATCGATCCTCCTGAATGTTAAGTGGATTTAATCAATTAAAACCAAGTTGTATCGATTAAAATACTGCAAAAACACTTCTCTGAACATTCTAAGCGATTTTAATCGGTTATTTCAAAACTGTATCAGTTAAAAACTTGTTTAAGAAAGCTTTTGTCAAAATACTTTGTTTTTAACTTGTTTAAACGATTTTAGAGGCATTTCGCAAAATCTTTTAAGTGAAGAAACCTCATGCAGCAGAAAAGATAAAAATGATTATACCTAAGTATAGTAGTGGACACACTAATCTCTCTACTCTTTTATCTAAGTGACTGTTGACCGCTACAAAGTTGACTTTGACTTTATCTTTGACCTTATCAAATCAACAAGATCTTTGTCAGAGTATTTCAATAAGATCTTCATCACTTACAATAATAATCATTTCCCTAACATTTTCCTCCCTGTTTCTCCTAGTCGCTTTAGTTGAGATGCTCGAGCTCGGAATGAAGACTTATGCAAAGGTTGCTCGCTTCTGGAAGGACGCTACCTTAGTCGCCTTGCGGTTTTTGACTAAGGTAATCATTGCTCTCTTATTTTGTTTGTTTTTTTTTTTTTTGGACCTCTAAATTTTTCCTAGGACATGTCCTAGCGAGGAATATGGACCCTATATTTTTCCCAGGATGCTCTTTGCGAGTTTTCATCCTAACGAGTCATGAGCAGCGCCTTCAAGCGTAATATTTCTTCATCGTGTTTGAGTTGACTGGGTGTCGAAGCTCTTCTCCATCCATGTTCGTGAGGATAAGGGCTCCTCCTGAGAAAGCTCGCTTGACCACAAAGGGTCCTTTGTAGTTTGCTGCCCATTTTCCAAGTTTGTCCTTCTGGGCGGGAAGCAATTTGTTTATTACTAAATCACCTTCTTGAAAAGTGCGGGGATTGATCTTCTTGTCGTAGGACTTCTTGATCTTATTTTGATAGGCATGCCCATCATATATGGCGTCCAACTATTTTTCTTCGATCAAATTAAGCTGTTCATACTGATTCTAGACCTATTTTGCTTCGGTCAGCTATACGAGGGAGAACGAAGTGACCCCGGTGGAGGTTCGTACGGAAGTTCGATATCCATGTAGGGCGAAGGGCAACATTTCGTGCTAATCCTTGTATGTTATCACCATATTTTGGATGATCTTTTTGATGTTTTTGTTGGCTGCCTCCACCACACCGTTCATTTTGGGTCGATATGAAGAGGAATTGTGATGTTGAATCTTGAAATCATGACATAATTCCTCCACCATTTTGTTGTTCAGATCGGTCACATTATCAGTAATGAGCTGATGAGGGATACCATACCGACATAGAATATTTCTCTTGATGAAGGTGGTTACCACTTTCCTAGTCGCGTGTGCGTAGGATGTCGCCTCTACCCATTTAGTAAAATAGTCAATGGCCACCAAGATAAAACGGTGACCATTAGATGCTTTGGGCTCGATGGGTCCGATGACATCCATGCCCCACATGGAAAATGGCCATGGTGTGGCCAAGATGTTGAGAGGTGCGGGCGGGACGTGAACATTACTGGCTTAAAATTTTTTCATACTAAGCGACTCATACATGAAAAGTATTTGTTGGCCTTCATCATAGCTTGACAACTTACTCTTAGGGGGAACAACCATGCTTTATTGTATGAAGGTGATTTAGTCTTGATGTATAACATACAAAAAAGGAATAAGGTAAATTGGATTTATGTGGTCAAGGATCACATGCTAAAATCTAAGCGTCTCCTTGATTATCAATTTTCATATGCTATTTTAGTTTAAAAAATTATGCATTATTTTCAGGTGGACCTCAATGATGAAATGGTTAAGATTGTTTGTGGTATGAATAAGATCACAAACACTACTTTACATAAGATGGGCTTTGCCAAAGTTGATGATAGATGGATTTCAAAGCATGAAGAACATGAAGGTGTTGGTCTGGAGGAGGCTAATGAAGTCGATCCTATCAATGCCAACGATGATGTCCCAATGATCATGGATATGGTTCTGTATGTCCCACCTATTGATTATGGCATTTTTTTTGTCCCAGATCAAACAAATGATGTTATCGAGGTTGGACACCAAGCAAGTTGGATAAATGATTTATAAACACATTTTATCAATAATATTATTAATATAATTTTAAATATTTAATATATTTTTTAATTAATTATTAATAGTTAATATAGTTTTTGTAAAAGGAAAATAAAAATATATTAATATAAATTATTGTTTAAATTGTACATTTTAACTAATTATTTGTTTTCTTTTGATGGATTGATAAATTAAAGAAAATATAAAAGCGAATTCAGATGAAATTCGTTGAGTGCACGAGAATATGCTTAGTGCTATTAGGAATCAAGTATCCACTGAGCACTTTTTGATCCGCTCAACAGAATCAGTCTAGAGAGCTCATCTTCTGAAAATCAACAATTCTCTTAGTGCTTTGTCATTCACTTAGCGCTTTTGGATCCGCTTAGTACTTCTTGATCTATTGTGTTAGAAATGTAGGCTGAGATCAAGAGGGGGGGGGTGAATTGATCTTTGAAAGATTTTCGCAATTAACAGATTATCAATTTCAAAGATTAAGAAATCTGATCAATTCTTGAATCACACACAACAAGCAATCAAAAATAAATGCAGTCACAAAATTAACGAAGAGAAAGGTTTAGAAAGATATCACAAGTTTTATACTGGTTCACCAATCCCAGGGCTACGTCCAGTCTCCAGCCAAATTCCAGCTGGGTTCCACTAGATTGAATGTTTTACAGATTACAACCTTAACCTTACACTCAATCTAACACAAGAACCACAATTCCAGTTCCTGCACCTAACCTTTCACCAAGAACCAAATTCCAGTTCTTGAACTACCCTGCAGCCAAATTTCAGCTACAGAAACCAGTGCCCACAATTCCAGGCACCCACAATATAGTAAAAGAAAGTAAAGAAACAAACAGAAGAAACTAAGAACGCTCAAACCAGTTTTATGCAGTTCTGCAATATGTGTTTCTTCTCCAAAGAAATGCAATTTTGCCTCAAGAAAGAACTTTGATGAACTTCACAAAAACAAGCGTGATTCTCTCTTGAAAGTAGCACTTTTGATTGCTTGATTGATTGCTAAAAGTTGTGTAAAAGATGTGTTTAAAAATGTTCAAGCAATTCTGTTTATATAGAAGATTTTCAAAACTGCAGGTTTAATTAATCTGTTAAAATAATCTTTTAATCTGTTAAAAATCTTGTTTTTATATGTTAAGACTTCTTTTAATCCATTAAAACGTTCTTGATTATTTTCCAGATTTGTTTTAACTGATACGACAACGTTTATATCAATTAAAACTCTTTTAAAAAAATCTTCTAATTTATTTTAATCGATTGTTTCGACTTTCAATCGATTAAAATACTGTAAAACATTTTTATAAACTTTTTCAAGTGATTTTAACTGATAAAAATACGTTTTAATCGATTGAAACATTTAGTAAAAATTTTCCAAGTTGTTTTAATCGATTGAAACGTGTTTTAATCGATTAAAATAATTCTGATCGGTCATAACTCAAATCTGATCGATCATATCTGGTTCTGATCGGTCATAAAGCCATTCTGATCGGTCATCTGATATGCCAAGTGGTTTTAATCGATTATTTCGAAGTTATATCGACTAAAATACTGAAAAAACACTTCCCTGATCTTTTTAAGTGATTTTAATCGGTTATTTCGAAATTGTATCAGTTAAAATACTGACAGAAAGTTTTCAACACTTCTTTTAATGAAACCAATTGGTTATTTTGAAGTTATATCAGTTAAAAACCTGTTATAGAAGTGTGAAGAACATTTTAGTTGATAAACCACATATACTATCAGTTAAAATAGTTGATTAAAAATCCTTTTGTCAAAATGTTTTGTTTTTAACAGTTAAAACATTTTTTAGAGGCAATTGCAGAATCTTTTTAAGTGAAGAAACCTCATGCAGCAGAAAGATAAAATGGTTATACCTAAGCAGAGCTGCAGACATACTAATCCTCTTCTCTTTTATCTTAAGTGACCTTTGACTGCCACAGAGTTGCCTTTGACTTCATTTTTTACTTCATCAAATCAACAAGATCTTTGCCAAAGTAAATAAGATCTTCATTACTTTCATATTGTGCGAAAACCTTCCAGAGCTCATTTAACTAATTTAACTATAAATTCGTTGAGCGCATATGAAACTGTTGACTAGATTAGTTGAATTCCAATTTTGCAGAATGTTGTATTGAGTTCTTTTTTGTAATTATAGGCCTCAAATGGGACTTGACTGGTTCATATGCCTTTATTGTTGTATCAATAGACCTTCGAATGTGTAGAAACATAAGTTAAGTTTGAATCACAATTCATTCATAGATTTTCTCTAAGTTCAACTCTTAAGTTCTTTAGTTTTTAGTAGTAATGCTTAGCTTCCAAGTTTTATCATGGAGTTTCTTGTACAAATAATGGAATGAAGTTTATCAATTCAAGTCTTTTTGCACAAGGAGCGCACCACAAGCCAATTCACAGTCCAAGAAGCATAACACAAGAGACACACCATGGTGATTCCTTTTTGTTGCACATTGGGGAAACCTTTTGGTATGTAAACACTTGGAGACACCTTCCTTTGTCCAATATGGGAATTAAAAGGGGCGAAATAAGCAAGAAGAAGAACACATGGTTGGATCAAAATGAAGCTTCCAATAAATTAAAAAACAAAGAGTTCGACCATGCACACGCTCAATGTACACTTTTACTCTTGTTTGAAATCTAAGGAGAACACAAATCTATATAAACACTTAGGAGTCCATGAAAGAAAAGAATGTGAGACTTCATCTAATGTTTTCGACCAAGTCTTGTCTAGAGGCTAAAAAGTCCCACATCTCCTAGCATATGATGTAGATGAGAGGCGGAACACTATAAATACAGTCCCTTGTGTAACTTTCTTTGCACATTTGAATAAAGTCATAACTTGTGTGTGGAACTTGCATAATTGCTTGTACCCCAAATTTGGTTTATCTTCAAGTGTCTCTAAAGAATTCTTTCTCCTATTATCCTAACAAGGAACTTTCCTTGGAGGAGCAAGTGTCAAGTTTCTCTTAAAATTTGGGGAAGAATTTTGGTTAACACTTGGGTGCTCATGGTGCAAAATTCTTAGCCCCATTCTTCATGGGAGGAGGAATAATATTTCCATCAATTTGGTATCAGAGCTACGCATGGAATGTAGACCCCTAATTTTGTCTGGCCTCTCAATAAAGACCAGAAGACTTTCTCTCTGAAGGTGGGTAAAGCTTCGATGGACGTCCATCGGCATCAACCATCTTCCGTCTGAAGAAAGGAAAGCTTCCCTGGAGTCCCAGAACACAAAATTTGACCAGAACACTTGAGATAGTCGTCCCAGAAAGCGAGACAGCCGTCCCAAACAGGCGAGACGCACGTCCCAGATGTGAGACGCGCATCTCAACCAAAAAACAACTTGAGATGGTCTTCCCAACTTCCAGACGACCGTCCCAAACATTTTAGACTTTTGTCCCTGTTTTCTTGGCCCGAGACGGCCGTCCCGAGTTTGTTGGCTGAAAAAACTATAAATAGGGACCTTAGGTGATGTTTTTTAACACACCTCACTCCTCTCTTCTCTCCATCTTTCGAATGATCTCTCTGATTGCCTATAAGGTAACAATCAGTTAAGGAAGTTTCTTCCGGCATTCGATTCTTCTTAAAGTTTTTGTAGTATCGGTCCCGTATTTGGGGAGGAGAGTCTGTGTAGTGCGGGAGATTGCCAAAACACATCCTCACAGTTGAAAAGTTGTAATAAAAGCTTGCTACGGAGGTTCTTTTCACTTCTTTTCTCTTTTATTGCTTTATTTACTGCTTTATGTATGCAATAGAAAATAGAATCATGTAGATAGCCATTTTTTAATATTGTGTAATAAAATAGGGTAATAGCATAATTTCTCTTAATCTTTACTTTATAAATTAATCCGTCATAGGGAACCCAAAAGGGGCGTCATGGGGTGCTAACAACTTCTCCACGCGTAACTAACTCCTTTACCTAACTCTGGTTATAATGGCCAAGTTTGGTTTTTCTTAAAATCAACGCCTTTTTATCCTTTTCCAATGTTTATGGTCAAAACATTGGTGGCGACTCTATAAGAACCTTTTTGCGAAAACCTTGCTTTTATTAGAGGATACTTCAATTGTTGAGCACCTCGGGAGCAATGATCACATTTTTAAATAAACGCGAGTCTAAACCATCTTTTCGCAATCGCTCGCATAAACGTTCGAGATGTCCCTAGACGTCAGAACGGACGGCGGCGACAGATGGCGACTCCACTGGGGAAACTAGAGAGTTGATCCCATTTAGTGACGGATAAATTCAAACTAAATAAATATTTGAAATTACGTCTTTACCCTCGTTTGTATGTTTTATTGTATGGCTTTAATAACTGTTGTATGATTATTTTTTGCAAATTGTCTGAAATACAAACTGTACACGAAAACCCTTACACACAACAGTCCCTCTATATCTGGGGGCAAGAGTAAATACCTATAGGGAGTGGGTGGCAGATACGACCCGCTTGTTGGCACATGGGGCTACAACCGTTGTCAGAAAACCACCAACTCAAGGTGATAACTCTCTTCTTTTGGTCCAAGGATGTCGACACGGAGTTTCGTGCATGGTCCGAAGACTGAGAGATTGAGAGGTCCCTATAATAGGGGCACCTTGGGGACATTTGGCCTTGGTGAGAACAGTTTAGAACCACCTTAACCAAGCACGTTTCTGCAGGAAAACCCTACCTCGTGATTAAATAAGTGTGGCTCTGCTCGTGGATTAGTGAATTGTGTGTGCATTTGTTTGCTGCATTTGTATTGATGCATTAGCATAGGGTAATCATACAACAGACAAAAAAGTAAAAATTCTAAAAACAATAAAAATGATAAGAATAAACCAACTTTATCTCGGACAGTCTTCATTTAAGCTAGCCTGATTTCAGGTTCTTTGTAAACTAAGTAGCCACGTTGGCCAACAAAAGAGATAAAGGGTTATAAAAAATTAAAAAAAAACAATTTAAAGCAATAAAAATACCTCTTACAATAAAAATATTTTTGAC